GAGCATGTTTGGTGGGACAGGGATTCGAACCCGCGACCCTCAGATTGCGAGTCGAGCGTCTTAACCACTGGCCATGCCGGGGCCTTTCCAATGGTAAAAATGAAAAGTTAGAATACGATTTTCAAGAAATTAGGTACAAGTAAAAACTATATGCGATGGTCTTTTGTCTTCCTCATCTAATGATTAAGGTAGACACATTCTTAATATCTAAAGCACAATTACTAACGAAACAATTTACATTAATAATTCCTTTTAATTAGAAATTGTTACTTTTGTAGTTCTGAGTTCCGACAGATCCTTAATTGTTTTACTTCTATTACTTTATTTAAATTAATTAAATCAACAAACGACACCATAAGTTCAAATTAGTTTCTAGCATATGGGCAGAGGTTTATTTAGCTAATCCAATTTTGTATTTTATTTCTTTTTGTAGCATCTTCAAATAAATCTGAATGAAATCTGTATTTTGCATTTTCTCATCTCACCCTTCATCTTTTTTAATTAATTAAAAAATTTCATCTCATCTAGCTTTTAAGTTAAAACTTTTAAAAAAATGGCATAATTCATCAAAAGCTAGTTATGGATTATTATGGCTCAGAAGTTCCAATACATAATACTTTTTTAATTAATGAAAAATCACGTCCAAACCAATGAGGTTCAGTAGTATCATTACGTTTGTGATGTGGTTATTTGAGATTTTTAATGATTGAACAACAAAGTACATAAAAGACAGTGAAAATATTTAGTGAATAAAAACATAATTATGAACAAAATAGCACGCATACATCAGGAAGCATAGGGAGTTACCAGGAAACACAGGGATTCACAGGAAAGCACTAGAAAACACAGGAAAGCTTCAGGAACATAGAGAAACAGTAGGAAGCATAGGGAAGCTCCAGAAAACATAGAGAAGCTCCAATTCGGGAAACGTAAGGAAACATCAGAAAATATAGGAAAGCTCCAGGAAACATAAGAAAATTCCAGAAAACAACGAAGCATTAACTGAAGCTTGTGTTAAGCTTCTTGATTCAGCAGCGTCAGCTTTAGTTACAAACTAATGACCTGATGAGACTTTATCCATCATTGGTATATTTAAACATATGTTTTACTGAGGACATGTTTAGATTGGGTTACATTCAAACTAAGATAATTCTAATTTACGAGCAGCAACAACTATATTTTTTGTGTTAATGACTCTGATACACCCGGTCCGATTAGAAATATCCGAGCCTGATATTCCCATACAAGTATTGAAGTACTTGTAGTCAGGATCCGAGTCTGATATTCCCATACAAGTATTGAAGTACTTGTAGTCAGGATCCGAGTCTGATATTCCCATACAAGTATTGAAGTACTTGTAGTCAGGATCCGAGTCTGATATTCCCATACAAGTATTGAAATGCTTGCAGTCAGGATCCGAGTCTGATATTCCCATACAAGTATTGAAGTACTTGTAGTCAGGATCCGAGTCTGATATTCCCATACAAGTATTGAAATGCTTGCAGTCAGGGTCCGAGTCTGATATTCCCATACAAGTATTGAAATGCTTGCAGTCAGGATCGGAGTCTGATATTCCCATACAAGTATTGAAGTACGTGTAGTCAGGATCCGAGTCTGATATTCTCATACAAATATTGAAATGCTTGCAGTCAGGATCCGAGTCTGATATTCCCATACAAGTATTGAAATGCTTGTAGTCTGGAAAACCAGAATAGAGACAATCATGATACCTGTAGCTATCGAAATGTCGGATGCGGCTGATTTGTTTTTTGCTTCACCTACTTTGAAAAGTCCTGAAGAGATTAATAGAACGACCATGAGCCCTAAGGTTTATAGTGTGGGTTCTTAATTAAGGACATTATTTGAACTGATTTACATGCTAGAAAAGTTTAACACCAGCCATGGCATAGACTCCTCCCTCCAGTTATGGAGTCCCGTCGCTGTACGTTTGTCATTGGGCAGTCCAAGTAGCGTGGCGCTCTCTTAAATTCCAAATCACTGACCACAGGGAGACAACCGGCCGGCAGCAAACACTTTTTTTATTACTTACAGTTGTTTGTCCTTCTTTTTAATGCCAAGCACCCAATGCGAATATGACTATTTTAGTGTTCTTACGTCTACTACTATTATGTGGTCAATAGTAAGGAGTTTGGCATTGACTTTAGTACAGGATTTTCGCCCGCTAATTAAATAACATCCTCGAGATTTGTCTAGTAATAATTTCCGATTCAATTTCATTCAAGTAGTATCTGTCTTTTTCCCTTTCTAAATGATAAGGGAAATCTACCAAGACAAATCCCCCCCAGTGGCTCAGCGATAAGGCTGAAAGCTTATAACTCTAAAAACCGGGTTTTGATACCCGTATTAAGCACAGTTAGCCCACTGTGTTCCATAACAAAGAAACAAACCAAGCCAAAATTCCTATCTTTTTTTTAATTCTGTTGTATTGTTAAAGCAAAGCTACAGAATGAGCTATTTGTGCTTTGTCCATCGCGGGAATCGAATCCAGGATTTTAGCGTTGTAAGTCATTAACCTTACTGCTGACTCACTGATGATTTTTTTTCGAATTATAATTCTCTGTTATTCATTAAATATTATATACTATACTTTAAATATTACAATAACATTAAAATAAATAAAAATATTGTTTGTTTTTCGGAGCAAAACCACATTGGGCTATCTGCTGTCTCTACCGCGGGGAATCGAATCCCAACTTTTAGCAGTGGAAGTTCGTAAACTTACCGCATGTCCCACCAGGGGACAATAAATAATAAGATCTATGATATGCATTAAATATTTAAGAATTTTCCAATTGTTTAGTAGGTCTAGAAGTTAAAGAACTATCGTTCAGGAAAAGTAAAAAATAGAAAGCGGAAGTACGTATTTGCAGTTCTAAGCCTAATGTTTCCAACTTTGGGCCTAGCTGTGTCTATAGAAAAGCTCCACAGTGGACTTACAACTCTAGAAACCGGGTTTCGATATCCGTGGTGGGCAAAACACAGATAGCCCATTGTATAGCTTTGTGCTTAACTTCTAACAACAACAATCTATAGAAAATATAAGCCTGGAAACCTAAAAGTATGAAATCCGAATAAATATTGCTAAAATATTGTGAATTACCCAACTACAACGTTCAATGATAAATCTATATAAATAAAATACTACTATCTGTTGTCTGTTCTATGTCCATGTAACTACTTCGCAGGGTGTAGATAGATCTTCACCAAATTTTGCATGGGGACTCATTAGGTCCATGAGGAGATCCGTACAAATTTTCAATTTTGCATTTTGCGGTTTTTACCACTACTTCGCCCCCTGTAGACGGATCCTTACCAAGTTTAATATAGAGGTTTATTGGGTCGATGGGGAGATAAATGCAAATATGTGGTTTCAAATTTTGTGTGTGCACTTTTTATACATATAAGGGAAGCAACTTTTCGTGTCCTAAGATAACCTTTCATTAATCATGAATTTACATAATTTCCGTCCAGGGAACGGGTACTCCAGCTAGTAAATGAATAAAATA